TAAGTGTTCATTTCACTCCAAAATTACTCCGGACCCAAACCTACCAACTCGATATAAGTCAACACCGCTGAACAACACATAAAGAAGCATGAATGAGAAAATAGGGCTATAACTCTCGGAACGACTGGCCGGGTCGTTACATGCATCTATGGATCATGTCGCACGTCCCTCGGCAGTGTACACAATACTCTGGATAGGGCCGTACGACCTCGGCAGAAATCGTGCTTAATAATAATAATTACACGATACTTTGATAGTTTATTTCAGCTTATGAAGATAATTGATAAATTAAAATTTTATTAGAATTGAAGGAATTTAATTAATATATTGAGGATTGTTGCATTTGAAGGAATTTAATTATTTCTACTGGTTAAATAAATTATTGTAAATTATGTGAATCATGCTGATTTAGATATTCTAGTTTTATTTTAATTTTTATTATTGACCCATAGTGAATGTCAAAGTTGTCCATCTCGTCTCTACCACTTCGAGATTAGGCTTGATACTTATTGGGTACACGTTGTTTACGTACTCATACTACACTTGCTGCACTTTTTGTGCAGGATCTGAGACAAGTATTAGTGGAGGACCTATCATCATATATCCACGTCATCCTGAGGCATAGTGATGAGTTGTCTTTCTGAGCCGTTCTGCAGCTACCAGTGTCTCTTCTTATATTTACATTCTGTCTATTTCATTTCAGATAGTATTTGGAGTTTTGTATAATCTACTAGATGCTTATACACTTGTGACACCAGGTCTTGGCACACACATTGGTAAAATTTGATATTTTATTATTTTTTTTGGATTAAAAGTTTAATCAATATATGTTTAATTTATTAGTTGGCTTGCCTAGCTGTAGTGTTGGGCGCCATCATGACCTATAGGTAAAATTGGGTCGTGACACTTATAAATCGAATGGTTTATATATAACGATATGAAAAAACCTTAAAAACTAATAATATTACTAATAATTCATAAATTTTAATTTCTATCTGCAAGAATTAATTCTAACTACTGGCTTGACGGTTCACTCATATTCCTACTTCATATATACCTTTTAATCTCTTTATTTTGGTTCTAAAAAAGACTAGAAATTAGCTTTCTATTTGTACTAATAAGCACTATATTCTAGCTCATACTCTAATATAACTAGAGCCGTCAAAATGGGTTTGGCCCGTGAGGCCATCCTAACCCAGCCCGCTACTTGGGCAGGGTTGGGCTAGAATTTTTTAGCCCATTTAAAACTGAGGCTTATAAACCCGGTCCAAGTCAGCCTATTGGCCCAAGAGGCTTGACCGGTGCTGGGACTGGGCCGGCCCGTCGGCCAAAAATTAGTTAAATTTAAATTAATTAACTATTAAATATTTAAAAATAATAAATAAAAAAACTATTAACTGTAATCCCCATTTTCCAACCCCAAATTGCTCATTTACCCTTCTATATCAACTAGAATTTAGATTTTTGACATGCATCTAATATTACAAAATTAGTTTTTCTTTTGCTTAATTAATAACGAACTCGAAAAGTTTTAAGTAGCCAATAATAATCTTTTTTCAAAAGAAAATATTACTTTAAGTGGCTAATGATCAGTTTGGATTACTTTAATATATTATTAATATTTAAACTGCTCTTCAGTATAGAAAAAGATCAATTTTAAATACACACAAAAAAATGACCACTAGCAAATTTTAGGAATTGTAAAAATTTTATGGACTATAATGATGAAATCAACATATGATGTTAATCCTAAGTTAAAAAATCTCAGCATATAAACTTATTAAAATAATCCCTGAATCTGAGGAAAATGAAAGAAAAGGATTAAGAAAACATTCATGTAACTTTAAAAAGGAAGAGTTAGAGATATAGAGAATTTGAATTTCAATTACGAGATTCCTCGTCAAATATCAAGCTTTTTGTACGCTCTAAGCAAACAGAAGTTGTTTACACGATTAATCGACTATGTCACGAAAAAATATTTAAGGATTTAAAGAAATTCTTTTTTCTAATATATATTTGAAGGTCCGGCCCACCCTAGCCCGCGGCCCTCTTAGGGTTGGGTTGCGTTGGGCTGGCCATTTTAAGGCTCATTCATGTGGCGGGCCGGGCCGGCCTAGCCCACCAAATTTAAAAGCCCACGAGACTTAGGTTGGGCTGACCCGTTTTGACAGCTCTATATATAACTCAAGAACAATGCGACAACCATAGCCCTATTAGTAATTATATTTTGCTTCCGGGGGTTCGACACTTAGGGGTCGTTTGGTTGGGAAACATGTTATCCCGTGATTAATTATCTCGGGATTAGTTATCCTACACTCTCATAGGGATAAAAATATTATAATTCCGGGATAACTAATCTCGGGATTAGTTATACCACGATTTTATCCCAACCAAATGTGGAATAAACTCAACTTAAATTTAATTCCGAAATTAATTATCCTTTATCCCTCGTACCAAACGAGCCCTTAGAATACTCTCTATGATTACTTACATATGGCTAGCCCCGTTTGCCTTACATGCAGCACTGGATTTAGGTCTAAATTATGGTGCACGTGAATCTATGGTCTATCCGTCAAATTGGGTGAATGTACATATTTTATAGAATTGATCTAATATTATTTATTGGCATCACGCTTTAAAAAGACAGAATGGCTTAAATTAGAAACAACTAGCACGTTTGCACACTTCTAGAATAGGATTATAGCAGCCAAAACAATCATCAATTTTTTAAGACAATGACCTAATATTATTGTTAATTAATATTATGCATAAGTCTGAATTGGATGATAAAGCTAGCTAGTATAGCTACAAACTTTGAGCTATCCTTCCTTGCAACCTTAGATCATACTAACACTACACAAGAGTATGTGTCTATATATGTTTATATGTGCATTGTACATATTCTTATGCTCTTCATCAAGTAGTATTATATATTACTTCCATATTTCAAGTCGTTATATTTATGAACGTTCATTAGACATACACCTATGCAGAGAGCTGGATCGAGGATTTAAACTTTATGGGTTCAGATTCGCAATTCTACCATATCTCATCTAATTTAATGGGTTCAAAATTTATAATTTGTTCATATTTAATAATATTTTAGGCAAAAATACAGGGTATGAGCGAAAGTTACGGGTTCAGTTGAACCCATAACTTCTACACTAGATACGCCTCTGCTTATACAAGTTGAAAATTGGAGAAGAGAATAATCAAGATGAAAGTAAGCCATAATGATCCAAGAGTCCTGTGTGGATGAGTCTAGCTCAACGGTTTAAAGGTACGCCAGGAATTAAAGGTTGATGACTTCCGAGAGCTCTTATCGACGAAATCGTTTGAATTTTTTTTGATAAAGAAGATTTGTACCAACAATGACCACCAGCAACCACGTTGTTGACAACTATTTTTCACCCTATATAGAAGCATAAAATCACTTTATCCAACTTGACATATCAAACTTTACCCTCTAATAGCTATAGCATTTCACATAAGAACACCAACCATTCCCTTCACTTTTCAAATAATGGTACCAAAGGGACTAAAATACAAACATGTGGGGCTAGATAAAGAATTAAGAGACCTTAGGGACGGTGGTGGTACGCTTTGTAAGCATCCTCTTCTGTTTGTTTGTTCCCTAACTTTTTCTTTTAATTGCTTATTGGCCCCAATACTATTTCAATTGACTCCATATGTCCAACATGGATGGTTTGTACAATTATATACCATATGGGAGATCTTAGTCTTACTTGCCCAACATATAGCCACACTATCGATAGCTCACATTATTCCACGTCGTTTCCCGGACAAGGTAGAAGATCAAATACAGGTTTAATTGAACTTATAAAAAAAAATTAAAATAATATATTTGTGTTAAAAAATTTATTAAATTAGCACGTCAAATTATTCTAAAAGTCCAAACATATTAAGTTAAAATTCCAGAGTTTTACAATGTGCTTCCCCATAGTTTTAGGCATAAGGTGTGACACTTGTCCCATATGCTAACGGCTATTGAGATTTGACAATTAAACAGTTGTCTCGGGAGTTTTCCTTTTTAATTCTTTGTTTGTCACGAGTTTGAGTTTAAATATTTCTTAATAGATTTTTTTTTCTTCTATTTTCACATCCACTATGTAGAAAAGTAACTCCTAGAAGTTGTTTACGTAACATGTGCATTTGTTGGTTACAACTTAATATTATATGTAACATATGCATATAAATTCTTTATTGAAATGTATGATGCAAGATATATAAGACTACATAACAATGGAAGTGAGGGTATACATAATACATTGTACGCTACAAAAGAAACCAAAGATGCATAATTTTGGGTAGTTGCATCCAACAGACACGAGTATCAATTAATATATAGGAATAGATTTAACTACCATAAACTGTAAGTCACCTGACTAAGTTGTAGTAATTGTATATCACTGTCCATAAAAGGGAAATTAGTAATATGAAAAATAAGACAAGTTACTAACTACAACATATTAAAATATATATCAATTTAAGTTATATATTGATGATGTAACAATGTATTTATACTAGAGGTTAAAATTTGATACGTAATAATAGATTAGTTATCATTTTTACCAACTTGGCTTTTCAAGAGATTTAGTACTTGTGTAATTATCTATTTAAGTGACCTAATTACATAAATATTTTTAATATTGTTAGTGCATAAAATTTAAACTCAAAACATATTGACAACATACAATTTCGTAGTGTATATAAGATAAATCCCTCTACAAATATATACACACAAATAAAGAAAGAATCTGAGAAGACATGCTCACTTTCATAGCCTTCTTAATTAATGTAATTTAATTTCATATAACTTGACCTTGACTACCCTCATATATATTCTCCACAGCGCATGATAAAATATAGCACTCATTTTCCTCAGGTTCATGTTATCTTTTTTGCACCAAGGTCTAAAGGCTAGAATTCACTTCTTATCATTCTTGATATTTTCTTTTTATAGTTTTAGTAGATATATTATGGCTAAACCAGAGCCCTTGAATTGTCCAAGATGTGGATCAACCAATACAAAATTTTGTTACTACAACAATTACAACAAATCACAGCCTCGCCATTTTTGTAAAGGCTGTAAAAGGCATTGGACTGAAGGTGGCATTCTTCGTAACGTCCCCGTTGGCGGCGGCCGGAAAAATAAACGGCTCAAGATCACAAGGGAAAAGAGTAATTCTCCAGTGGTTGTTGATGATGAAGAGAAAAATGTATTTGATAATTTGTATCATGAGCTAAATCTCCCTTCATCTTCACTACCACATGATACAATCACCAACAACCTACATTTGAATTCTCCAAAAATATTGTCGCACTCGTGTCAGACCCTGAAAAGATGCACTACTTCTGAAAGATCTGACACAGACCCAACAGTATTTTTAAAGAGTCCGAGCAACATAGCGAAAACAGGTGTTCCTCAAGATGAAGATATGCTACTTTCTTTCTCTAGTGCTATAGGGTCGTCCTTTAACAAAATTCCATGTTCTATTCCCACATCTGCTGATCAATCTTCAAATATTTATAATTACATGGAAAATCTTGATAGTACTATGGAGGAGTCAACTATTACATGGCAAGGTCCAGGAACAAGTAGTCTAATGATGGAAAATATGCAAAGTTATTGGAATTGGAACGATATCGAGGCATTGGTTTCAGGTGATGATCTTAATATACTATGGGATGACACTGAGATCAAACCATAATAAGAAGAGAGAAACGTGGATTTTTCTAGGAAATTAAGTTTTTTTATAGAGATTAGTTTGAGATCATTTGCCTTATGGGTTGTCATGCTTGTGTTATTTTGTTTAAGGGTTGTTAATTTAATTAATTAATAGTGCTTACTCTTGAACTAGTTGATTTACAAAGTATATATCCCATAATCATCTGTTACATATTTACACGTAATTAAGTATGAGAGTTTGGGTTTATGTACTATTATATTTTTGAAGCTGTCCAATTTTAACGATCAACTTCATGCTATATTAATATTATATTCCTCAATTATTTCCAATTTACCTCCTCCGTCAATGAGCAAACGAAGTTTACAAGGTTGTTCAAAGGTTGTCTTCTTTTTTTTTTCCACGCATGATCTGATAGGTAAAAATATGGATTTTAATTTGATAGGACTTTATGTCCATCGGAGACATAAAATATTAGGTGAATTTTTTTATCCGTCTAATTTTTAATGGACAAAATTATCAAATACATGTATTGATGGGAAATAGGAACCAGATTGAATTGTCGAGGTGCAGACAAATTAACACAAGGACCACCGATATATGGATAATGGATTTTGATATGTATCAGAGGCAGAGATATGATTTGAAGCTTATTAGTTCGGAATTCTTAATCTTTTAACTAAGTTACTGAATTCTAAATTAATAACTTTACAAACTCATCATGCTTACCCCATTGATTCCATGCCACCTCAATCCGTATAAGTCCATTAACACATTAATCCTGACTAAATATACGATTTGGATCAAAATTACTGGATGGGGTCGAACTCGTAGCTTCTATTCTTCTTCTGCCCCTGGCAGGTATATATGGAGATGGGGTCTTTCTAGGTGGGATGGGATGGTTAGGTGTGATGAAAAATTCTTTAATTTGTAGATATATGTCTGCTCTGTTGCAGGTTGATATCTTCAATAATTTTGCCAGGATGTCCTTTGCTTCCTACTACTGTGTTTTTGCTCTACTAGTCTCCAGACACAGGCATTGCGCGTGTACCCATCAATGAGTAAATAATTTAAAAGATTATGTAAATATTGTTAAATAATATATTTGAGTCATAACATAAAAATTTTTAAAAAATAAATTTTATGAATGATGATCCTATTAGTTAGTTCAATAAAGAAAGAATTCTGCCCATATACGTCCTCAATGCCTCACTGCAATTTCAGTGTATAAGTCATGTATTCTTATTTTTTTAGGAAAAAGAATGCAAATAGAATATCATTACTATATTCTTGCTAATGGTGCATTATATTTTGATGAAATGAATAATTCTTCTACCTTCGGTATTAGATGGAGCACACTGAAGTCAATGAGAAGCTTCTTTTGTAAAGTAAGAGTAAGTCATTTTGTTGTCATAGCTACACGAAAAACAAATACCATTGTTATTGCATATGTTGTTAGTCCGCGCCAAAACTTACCTAGAAGATAGCTATTGATTTTGATGAAAATTCAAGCTTGTAGAATTCATGATGGATGACAAAAGTGCCGACTAAAATAGGGTTCAAAATCAAGAAATTTAATGAAATTTAAAAGACACTTTACAACAATATAGAAAATATTACTTATCCTGAATAGGCGGTCAGGTTCTTGACTGAAATCACAATTAATCTTAATTCATTTTGCTTCTCTTCAGTCATTGTTTAAGTAAGAAGATTAAGCATGGTACAAGATGGAGAGTTAGTGTCACGACCCAATTTCACCTATAAGTCGTGATGGCGCCCAACACTACAGCTAGACAAGCCAACTAATAAGTCAAACGTACATTGGTTAAACTTTTATTCCAAAAAAATAATAAAATACTAATTTCTACCAATGTGTATGTGTCAAGACCCGGTGTCAAAAGTGCATGAGCATCTAGTAGATTATACAAAACTCCAAATACTGTCTGAAATAAAATAGACAGAATATAAATATCAGAAGAGACACTGGTAGCTGCAGAACGGCTTAGAAAGGCAGCCCACCACTATGCCTCGGGATGACATGGGTATGTGATGATAGGTCCTCCACTAGTACCTGTCTCAGATCCTGCACAAAAAGTACAGCAAGTGTAGTATGAGTACGTAAACAACATGTACCCAGTAAGTATCAAGCCTAATCTCAAAGTGGTAGAGACGAGATGGCCGACCTTGACACTCACTATGGGTCAATAATAATTGAAATAAAACTAGGATATTTAAATCAGCATGATTTACAGAATTTACAATAATTTATTTAATCAGCGGAAATAATCAAATTCCTTCAAATGTAACAATTCTCAATATATTAATTAAATTCTTTCAATTCAAATAAATTCCAATCTATCAATTAAATCTCATTTACAGGAGTAACAATTAATTCTTAAACAAGCAAGAATAATAATTCATTAAATTCCAAGGATTTTTCAATTTATTAATTAGCTTCACAAGCTGAAATAAATTACTAAAGTATCGTATAATTATTATTATTATTAAAAACGATTTCTGCCGAGGACGTGCGGCCCAATCCATNTAAGTCAAACGTACATTGGTTAAACTTTTATTCCAAAAAAATAATAAAATACTAATTTCTACCAATGTGTATGTGTCAAGACCCGGTGTCAAAAGTGCATGAGCATCTAGTAGATTATACAAAACTCCAAATACTGTCTGAAATAAAATAGACAGAATATAAATATCAGAAGAGACACTGGTAGCTGCAGAACGGCTTAGAAAGGCAGCCCNCTTTAATATCTTTATCTAACAATTCACAATATATTCATATAGATATCAATTAATATAAATAAATCAAAGGATACAATTTACACAAGTAAGGCATGCTTTGAGTCCTAAACTACCCTGACTTTAGCATTAATAGTAGCTACGCACGGACTCTCGTCACCTCGTGCATACGTAATCCCCCACAATTAGCAACAATTATTTAATTTTAATCACTTATGAGGTAATTTTCCCCTCACAAGATTAGACAAGAGACTTACCTCGTCTTGCTCCAATTTAATCCACTATAAGGCCTTTTCCACGATTATCCTACTCCGTCTGGCTCGAATCTAGCCAAAATAATTCGATCCAATCACTAAATATTATAGGAATCAATTCTATAAGAAAATACTATATTTTTAAGAAAAGATCTCGAAATTAATTAAAAATTCGCCCGCGGGGCCCACATCTCGGAATCCGGCGAAAGTTATGAAATCCGATAACTCATTCAATTACGAGTCCAACCATACCAGTTTCACTCAAATCCGACTCCGAATCGATACCGAAATCTCAAAATTTCGTTTCTATGAGATTTCTAAACTTTTCCAAATTTCAATCTCAAAACACTAATTAAATTGTGAAAACAATGATATACTTGTATATGTAGACCAAATCCGAGTTGGAATCACTTACCCCAATATTTTTTCCTTGAAAATCTGCCAAAAGTCATCTCTGTTCAAGCTCAAGTTCATCAAAAATGGCAAATGGGACGAATGCCCTCTTTTTATAAAACTGCCCAGCAGCCTTCGGAACTGGTCCTCGAACTGGGCCTCGATCGGGTCTTCGATCACAGGCTTGAGCCTGGACCTCGGTCATGGCCTCGATCAGGGCATCGAGGTTGGACCTTCGATCATAGCCTCAATCATGGCATCGAGCTTGAGCCTTCGATTGTGACCCTCGATCTTGGGTCTCGATCCT